CATGATTCACAATTCTCCTTCCCAGGAAGACTGGAAATGCAGTAGTATGTAGGACCTGCAATATACTGAATCAAACCCAAGCCACTGGCAAAATTGCCACAGACTTTTATGGAACCAGGATTTTTCTCATAAGCTTCAGAGGAAGGGCTTCCACACCATTGTATATATATTTTTATTGAAAGCAATTGCTGAAAGTAGTCTTATCGTTACAAATAACGTTAACCTGGTGAATCAGCAAGTCGGCAAGGCTCTGCAATAGTGGGCTGGAACAGCCTGCCTGGGTGTGAAGCAGGCTGGCGCTTCCAACCCAGCTGTTGCTCCTCCCAGACACCCGGCCATATGCAAAAGCCCCCACTGACTGCCCCACAGGGCAAAACTTCTCCCCACTCCTGCCCCCTTGCACTAGGGAGAAGCAGTGGCAGTGGCTGGGTCAGAAGCTCCACAGGCCAGATGCAATAGCTCCATGGGCTGAAAGTTGCCAACCCCTGGTCCACATTAAATGAGACCTTTCCCCTAGTGAGCATATATCTATGCCATTGGAAGTATCATTTTGATCTGTATTCTTGTTGGCAGCTTCATGATAGAAGTCAAGGTCTATAGTAGCACAAAATCCACGTTAATTTTTATTCCTAGTAATGGTACCAGCAGGCTAGGACTTAGTTCCTGTAGGGGTGCAATAAACTACCTGAGCTGTAGCTGTTCTGAGGACAGAGGACTTCAGGCTCCAGTATGGCAGCCTTAAAAACATTAAAAGCACTAAATAATTCTTTCTGAGAGGAAAAAGAAAAAGATTCCATGACTGATGAGAGGTCCTGATTTTGTGTGTTTGTTCTCATGAAAAGCGAATGTCTTTAGGACAAACTTGCAATTGTGAAATCAAAAGAACAAAATGATCTTTTATCCCCATTACAAATTGAATTCAGATATTCAATGTCCAACACAAAGGAGCAACCAAGGTTAAGCTTTTTATTTGTTACAGGAATACTCATGCATGCCACTGTTAGTTTAGCACAGAGTTGTAATTAGCTTTAAATCTCCGTACATAAGTGTTAAACATCCTACCGATTCTATGCTTTCTGTAAGCAGATTTGCTCTTTATCTAACTTGGGCCAATCTTCTCAAATATTAGATTAAGGGCTATCAACATGTCACTATGACATAAGGAATGCCCCTATCATCATTACAAACTCCAGAGCTTGACTTTCAGATATTTCATTCTGCAGGTCACCATGACTCAACCTACATCCTGAAGTTTTGCTGGCACAATCATCAACCCCCTAAAAACAGATATGCTGGCTAAAACCCTAGAAAAATGCAGGTGCGTAACAGATAGCAAAATCCTTTTGCCAGCATAGCTTGTTCTGCCTAGAGAACTGTCTTCGGGTACATTGGCAGAAGAGCTCTTTTGCCTGGATAAGCTGCCTCTCCACTGGGGCAGAGCGGGGGTGGGACCGGGCTGCTGCTACGTGACAGCTCGCTACGCTGGCAAATCCTTTTAAGTGTAGGGAAGTGCCAAGGAGGATTCTGGGAACCGGTGGTGGCCTGCGGACTAGAGTTTCAGAATGAGGGAGATGCCATGGGATTGCTGTATGCTGTTGTAAAATGGCATTTGAGCCTGTCTGTTATTCCTGCCTACTTCAAGAATGAGCCCATTCCATCGGCTGTACTAGACACGAGAGAAAGCTGGCACTCTTAAAAAGGAAACTTGCAGAGGATAGGGCTGAAGCTAGCTATTCAATTTTTAAACATGTACTTAAAAATCCCTATACCTCTCCTGTCTCTAAGCAGGTCCCTAGAGCATTGCATGAAGCAAATGCTGTGGGAAGATTCCTACTGGTTTCTGCACTATACTAGCATAAGTTTGCAGCAGCAGAGTTTGAAAACAAGGAAGCCTGAAAATGCTACTGGATTATTATGTATATTTTCCTCATTTCCAAAAAACCCCCCTAAAACATTTAGTGTCTTTCATATCATACACTACAGAAATGGAGGGATCGGATGAAAAATTCACTCATTTGTATACCTTGGGATAGCTCTTTTATTTATAGTTCAACTGAAAAAAAAATAGAACTGAATTTTCAAGCCAAGGTTTTTGCCACTGAATGCGTGTGCCCCTAAGTTAATAGATAAATATTAGAGGTATGCAGACAGACTGGACAGGTGGACACACAGGAAGTTAAATGCTTAGCTGCCTGCACGATTGTGCAGTCATATCAGAAAGTATTATGTTTCAATTAGACACCTGATCAGAGGTGAAAGTGTGAGCCCTTCATAGGCAACCACTCAAGGTATTAAAAATAAACAGCACAATCAAGGCTGCAGATTAGGGGGAGTTTCACCTCCCCTCTGTCTTCTACTGCTCAGTGTTACTTTCCCCTTGCACTGCATGCTCCTTCCTTTTCAGACACTAGCACACTGCCATGCTTGTAGGACTACTGCTCTGCCTGGGAATTCGGTACCATCTGGCAGGGAAAGAACTTTACACGGAGAAGGCAGCTTATTGAAGCCTAGAGTATTTTAGCTATGGAGTACTCAGGAGAGCTGCCCAGTCATTTCCAAATCCTCCCTGACAAATCAATCATGGTGGCAGCATATTTATTCATATTAAAGTAATTCTCATTAATTTAAACACCATGAAAGGTTTTGGCTGTACTTTTTCAATATGAAGTTTCTGGATCTCAAAATATTAAGAGGATTGATTTTGAAATAGAGGCAACTGCAAGTGAGCACCAGCAAATGTGAACACACCCAGGTTTCCTGCCCTGTGCCAGCTGAGCCTGCCTCATCCAACCCCTTCCAAAAAGAAATTCTCTCTGCATGACCTAGCTATTGTTCCAGTGGGGCATACTATTATTCAGCATCCCAATTTAAAAGGAAGATTGATTATGGGCATGCCAGTGAACAAAAAGCAGCTCAAACATCACACAAAAGGTTTAATTATGACCTGATTATAGCAGTACTTTTGTTGAAAATGGATCACATGTGTAAATATCTTGCACTTGTCACATTTTATCTAAATGAATCCAAAGGGCCACACACACACACACCCTTATTAAATCATTGCAGTGCAGCCTCCTCTGGAATGAAATAGCGATTGCTGACTAGTATTTAAAAACTAACAATATGCTTTGGAAAACAAAGTGCAATGTCTATCTAGTGAAAGTGTTGTACAATTTAGATAAGAGGAACTTATCTAACCTGTAACCTAACCAGCCAAGCTGGACTACCCACTTTATCAACTCTGAAAATCCCTAGAGGCCTATATTCACAACTGGTTGTGATCTTCTATCCCACAGCTCATTCCAAATTGTTATTTTTTCAACAGTTGGGATCCTGCCTGAATTCTGTGCTCCAACGTATCCATATCTATTTAAATATATTTAGGTCTGTCTGCATTTAAGCTGTAGCCATGTCAATTAAGTATGTGGGGAAAAAATCCTGCCCCTAATACAGCTGTGCTGCAAAAGCTGCAGTAGAGACCAGTGATTCTCAAACATGGTACCACGAGATCCTTTTAAGGGTGTTACAGGGGGCTGCTCAATATTAGCACTGCTAAGTGAGTAAATATTTATAACATGATTCACAAGATGAACACACAAATTTCAAATACGAATCCAGTGTTAAAAACAAACAAACATTCTCAACTGTCGTGGTCTTTTTGAGTTCTTTGCAACAGAAGACTTGACACCATCTATATTAGTTAGCCGAAGTCAAGAAATGAATAAAAGCTAAGAGCTGGCATTTTCTGAGGAGTGCCCCGAGTCTAATGAGCACAGTCCTGAATCTAAAAATGTTGAGAATCACTGGTACAAACAGAGCAGTAGTAGGAAAGCTATCCTTTTGTTGGGATAACTTGTCCTGTTCAGGGAATTAAGACATCAGGAAAAGAACTTTTCACCGGGGAAGGAGAAGAGAAAACTCATCTAACAGTAAAATTCTGCTGCCAAACCTTTTCAAGTGCAAGCAAGTCCTTATACTATGTGCAATTAGACTCTAGGCCCCATCTGAATTCGTGTGCTGTCTGTGCTGGAACAACCATAAATATTAGTATATGTAATGGGAAATAGTTTGCTATTTTGTAATAAAAGTTGCTGCCCGATCAAAAGAAGACTGACATTCACTGAAGGGACAGGGCATGTTATGTGAAAAGAGGAACCAGACCCACCAAATTTATCTACAAAGATTGATCTGTGGGATGATTTCAAAGTTCTTTAAGTCACTCCCATCCTCAGGATGCAAAGCTGAGGGAAGTAAAACTGTGATGCCCCAGCACTGCAAAAAGGCTAAAAACAAAAAACATTGACAGTATTTGTATGTTAGGAAGACAGTATAACGGGCAACCTTCATTCACTGCAAAGCCTGTTCCAGAATTCAGTCCCTTGCCACACTTGATACTTAGCATATGCCAAATGGGTTGAGGCGATATACTGAGGACTGGGATTGCTGGCTGAAATGAGGAACTTTTTCCCTCCTTTCTGTGGTTTTTTGAAACTGCTGCCCTTGGATTTATGTTTTAAGTTGGTACGTGCTTTTAATTGTAAATATAAAAGGTAATTAAAAGGTGCCTAAACATTATCAGGATAGAGGGGGGTTTTGCCCCCCCCTATATTTTGCAGAATTTTAAAGAAAGAAAAAAACAGACAGTACAACCAAGCACATTTGTATTGAGTGGGAGGATCCTTTGTACATTATCAAATGGAGTGAATACTTTCCAAAGGAAGAGGAATGTATCATAGGTATGATGTTTACTATTCAGGGACCTCAGAGGAGCACTTTCTGCTAATGTGCTGCTAGCAGAGGCAATATTTATACTTATATTACATTTATAGAAGTGGCGATATTTTTTTAATTTAGTTAATTGGAGGCGTAAAGTTCCAATGTGCTGTTACGCCTACGGGGCACCCTGGGTATCCTAGTTCTAAACACAGATGCGCTGATGCATAATTTCATGCTGAATCTTTGAAACACAATGACAAAATACTTTTAAAAAATTCTCTTACACTGCTGACTCGGGTCTGAGTCCGTGGTCATCTTCACGTAGTTGGAAGGAAAGAGACCTGTCATGCCATTGAGTTCCCCTTGCCACCAATCAGCATCATCTTTGCTCAGTACATTAATAAACTGCCCTTTGGAGAAACTGAGCTCATCTTCATTATTTGCCAAGTAATCGTACATTGCTATTACTTGACACACTAGAAGGAAAAACAATATTCATAAATTGGATTAAGAAAAACTTCTTGTGGAAGATAAGTAACTAACTGCTGAAGCTTTGTAAAGCCTATTGAAAATACCAGTGGGATAAAAATCAGCTGCTTTCTGTGATATGCTCTCATCAGGCTGGATAACCGATCAAAAATCCATGCAAGAGTTAACACTGCATGCTTTGATCCTTAGAAAAAAAATAGGACGCATGGTCCCAAAAGTATAGTAAGGTTCCCCACTGCTCTGGGGAAGCAGGGTGCTCATGTTCTAGACATGATCAAGAACCTGCAGGCTTGCACTTATTTTTGCTCGTTGGAGAAGAGTATGTAGTTCCAACTCCAACAGGTGAATATTGCAGTTTGGGATATAACCTTTCATCTGGGAAACAGGTTTGTTGCAATACACCAAGATAGCAGACAGTACATTCCAGGACAGGAGCCACTGAACAGAGCAGCTGCTTTATAAATGTGAAGTTCCTCAGGACACAGATCATGTCTTCTAATGCATCTGTTCCTAATCTGGCTCCTAGGTTTTACTACAGTAGGGTCAAAGACCCTGATTGGGATCTCTGGGTGTTACTAAATCACCACCATGACTACCAGAGTAATAAACAGAAATTAATCAGTTCATTCCATGATAGCTATAACACAGACTGCTATCTGGGGTGAAAGGGTTGAATTAGCAGTGCAAAACTACATAAACAAGAATATTTTTCTACCTGAGGCAGCAGTAGGAGTGGTTTTCTCACTGCTTGGACCCAATAATTTCACATGGCTGGCAGGAAACCACCCCTTCTGTCGCTTTTTTCCTCTTGCCTGTAAAATGTATTTCAAGCAGTTGAAAAAGAAACAAACAAATGACTCGAGGATGGTAATAAATGCCCTACCCAGACAGTTAAGCTAACTAAAAGCCACAAAAGTACACACCAAATTAAATACAAGATGGAATTTGGTTGTAGGTACTAAAATTCAGGTACTGAATTCACATAAAGCTGCACCTTTTTTTTTTTAGCTGAGTACTAACAACTCTAAAAAGAGACTTGTGATTTAGATTTAGGTTTAACTTCAAGCAGCTTAGAGGGCCTAATTTTTTCCCCTTTGATTATGGTCTTCTTCAAACCACAGTCTCACTCAAGAGGCCCAGCTCAGTCTCTACAACTCAAAATCTCACCGGGAAGCAGAGAAGGGTGCTATAAAGTAATGGGAGTCAACCTCTTTGGAAAGTGTGCCACAAATTAAGCCACATACCCTCCCGGAGTACTACACTGATTCCCTTCCCCTGCCATCTCTACCACATTGCTTCTTGTTTCCTGCCTTGTGCTCCTTGCCTGATCTGCTGCTCTGCTTTCCACTCCCTGCCTAATCTGCTGCTCTGCTTTCCACTCCCTGCCCTACATGCCACTGTGCTTCCAGCTTCCTCCCTAATTTGCCATGTGCCACCCATAGAGGCTGGCTGTGCCACACATGCAGGTTGGCTACCTCTGCTGTAAAACATCTCAACTCAGAACTAGCCATGAGGTAGGGACAAATACTAAGGAGAAAACAAGCAGCATCCCCACCCTCTCCCCTTCTGCAGGTGCAGGCTGGACATCTGGAGAATAACTGGCTGTGGGAAGATCTTAGTGACTCCCAGAATGGGTTCTCAATCAGCTATGGTGAACAGATCCCATTTTCTGGTGGTGGAGTGATGGAAAGTCAGGAGGAATAAAGATCCCATGCTACTTTTCAAAAGAGGTCAGGGTGGAATAGTATTTGCCCCAGTGTCCTGATCACATTTTGGCTAAATTTCTCTATGGCTTCAGTGAGGCCTGATAGCAGCTTTTCAATTTTTCCACTACACAGCCATGTGAAGCAGTGAATGAATGGGTGTAGGAACAAACTTCCTTCTGTGTACAATTTATCAGTTCAGAAAAGTACTTTCTAATCTTTCAAGATGAAAGACTTAACTACAAGAAATTGTTACATATACACTACACAGGTTTCTCTCCTACTCCATCAAAGAAATGGAGTAGTACTGTTATTTTTAAAAATCAGTTAAGTAGTTCTGGCTCTAATTATGACTTATTCACTGCCAATGCTGAACCCTTCCACACACTGGATTTCAGTGACAGGAAGAAGAGGTTTACATTTAAACTTATTTTCCAGCAGAAAAATAGGTTCTTGGTCAGATTTCTGAACATTGCACTCAGCACTCTTTTTAAATTAAAATCACAGAGGTAGCCCTATTATTAATCATTATGTTAAGGTTATTTCCCACCCACCACCCCCCTTAATTACCTGCAGCTCTCCTTGCCACCATCCACTAGCATTTTTCTTCAAAATGAGTATCAGCTGTCCTGGAGCCAGACTAAGCTGTTCTGTCCCAGATGCAGTGTAGGCTGTAGTAACCTGAGCAATCTCTGAAGACCGAAAAATACTAGTAAGAAATGCAATAAGGTAAGGTCTAGACCCACAAAGGTAACCAGGTACCTGCATTCCTGCTGAAATACCTTTGGGGTCCTGCCCCTAAAAGTTTGGAGGTTATAATGTACTTACCAGGTTTCCTGTTTACGGTCCCAGTTTTTCCAGCAGCACCAGAACCCTACAATAAAAAGTGCAGCCAGCTTTTAATATGCAGTATTAAAATTTATTGCCAATTTTCCCTTGTTTCTTTTAAAAGGGGTTCTACCTTGCTACAAATACTCTTTATTGTTAAGGATAATAATTCCCTTATTACAAAGCACAATGGTTTGAAAATGGTTAGATACTTTTCAAAACTAAGTATTTACACAGATAAGAACTGTAAACTTTTGTAAATCAATCATAACACCAACATTTTAATATTTGGACATAATACCTAGATAAAATATACAAAAGGTTTTTAGTTTATATCATATTTACTTGCACTTCTTCTCCTGCAAATCAGTCTGAGTGTCTTAGTCTGGAAGCAGGCTTTTCTTTACTGGAATAGAAGCATGGAGGAACAGAAGCAAGGAGACTGTGCTCTGGGGGTGTGGGGGGCCAGATTGGGCAGAACTGTGGCTGGGACCCAGAACTTTATTCTGGCTGCTCTGTGGCCTTCAGAGGCAACTTCCATTCCCTAAAGAACTCATCATTCTCATTACCGGAACACAAAAACAGATCACATTGCAGTACAAAAATAAAGCCAACACTCACGTCTTGATCCTTTGGTCTGACATAGTTTGAGGGAAAGATTCCAGTTCTGTCATCAATGCTTCCTGTCCACCATTCCCCATCTTTCTGTGTCACTAATATTTCATCACCTTCAGTGAAAGTCAAATCACCAAGTTCGGAGCTTGAATAAGAATACAGTGCTACATACTCTGTGGGAACAATGTATATATAGCTTTAACTACTGGGAGAAATGTGTGTACTGTAGCAAATGAAACCAAACTGCAAATTATATTTTCTCTGTTTGATCTATTCATTTTCTCAATAGTATGGTGAATGTAACGAGAGGAATAATGGTCAGATAATTCTTTGCGGAGATCTCCCACAACAAGATTTCTCAAACTTTTTCATAGTATGGAACATATTGCACCTGGGAGTTTTGTGAGCCATTCTTTTTGCTTGACCTATAATCACAGGAATCCTCTCCACTTCCATATACAATTATGTAGACACCTTTCTTACTTGCATGAACAAAACATACTTGAAACAAATACAGCAATCATGGGAGCTCCTGACATGGAAGAGTAATGCATTTTTGCTTGCTCTCTGTGATTTAACAGGTGGAAAGGAAGAAGGATAGTATTATATGATTAATAAGACCTCTGTGAATCATCCACAGTTCACAAAGCAGTGGTTTGACAAATGCGTTCTTGTATATTAGAGATTTTAGGTTGTCTCAATCTTTTATAAAAATGAGAGTGGAACAGTACGTACACACACACACACGAGTTCCAGACATCTGAACAAGTAAGCTGTCCAAATGGAACTTGCAAACATTTTATATGTGGTCTGATGAAAAGGTAAGTAAATGAACAGTCATATATCAGATTGAAAGGTTGGAAGATTATTTTTCATTAACAAACTTTTCCCCCTTCATTTGTACTTATGCTTCCTCTATCTAAGTATACACACTGGAAAATGGCTTCCAACACTCAAACTGAAAAAGCACTGATAATATCTTTTCCATTTTGAGCAACAAGCACTGCAACAGGAAGAGAGAAGTTAATGCATGGTTACTGAATCTATTTTTAGGTTTTCAGAGGTCTGCACTGGTCACTAATGAACATTTTGAGCAACACAACCTTTTGCAAACAACTGAACCTAAAAATTGGTTACAGATTTTAAGTTTTTACTTCACACTTCCACTGTAGTATCTGCATGTTTGTACTCACCACTCTGTAGCAAACATTCACATATGTGAACAGATTTTTATGCACGTCCAAAGTCAATTTGCATGCTACTGCATGTTATTAAACAGAAATGAGTCTTATAACTTCAAGGCACTTTAAAGTGGATTCTTACCCTCTCCAGGTGTATAAGATGGCATGTTATGTTTCTTTTTTACAGATGCATAAACTGCTTCTGGTCTGCAGACAAAAAGCTCACAGTTACTTTACATGGTTGACTTAATTTAGTTACAAAGATTATATAAAAACTGTTAAGACTGTTTGCGAGAAGCATAATTGCAGCCAAGCACTACTTCATGCTCTGTTGACAAATATTAGTAAAACTGTGGTCCTAAAAACATATTTCAATTTTTCAAGTAGTCACTAACATTAATACAGCATCCCTTAACGTTTATAGGGCATACCTATAAAATGCCACAAATGCTGCTGTAACAGATTACTAGCAAAAGCAAAACTGAAATTAAGAAAATGTAAGGTGGACCAAAGCAAATGTCCTCAAGAGCTAAAAATATAACTTCAATCAGGACAAACTTATACTTTAAGCTAAAGGCTTTGGAAAATGTAGTCACAAACTTTGGAATCCAAGAAATGCAGCAATGAAGCTAAAAGGAAAGATTTCATAAAACAACTTCCCACTTAACATTCCCTCCTTCCGTAGGATTTTACACATTGTATCTGACAAGGACTGATTCACAGGTGAAGCTGCAGTCATCTCTAAAATGTAATGGAGGTAATATTCCATATCAGCCACACTGTACTGATTTTCAGTAATTCCCTGAACTGTTAGCTAGAATATTAACCTTAACATCAATGCTTCTGAAAACTAGGAAAAGAACTAGTACTGCAATACGCATCAGGATGCTTCATAACAGTGAGTGGTTAAGAGTTCTCACTTTCATATACAGTATACCCTCAAATCCGGCACGCACGGGACCGACCACCTGCCGGAAGTTTGAGAATTCCATGTTTTGGAAACCAGAGAGGCAGCTGGTCATGGGGAGCAGGGCGGATAGTGGCGGCTGGTCCCAGAGCAGTGGCTGCACGTGGAGCAGGGTGGTGGATGGCAGCAGCTGCTGCCACGTGTAGGCTCCCCTTCTGTGTCCGGGGGCATGGGGAGGAGTGGCGGCTGGTCCTGGAGCAGTGCCGCGGGGTGGTGGATGGCGGTGGCAGTTGCTGTGTGCAAGCTTCCCCCTCCACATCTAGGAGAGTGGAGGGGGAAGCTTAAAAAGTGCCGGATTTTTGAGAATTCTGGATTTATGAGGTTATATTGTACCATCTAGGACCTGGTACCTCCACTAGTACCTTGTTGAAGCATTGGTCCAATACTGAATCAAGATAAACCTGCTGAATTATCAAACACCATTTTCTCCAGGTTGCAAGAGTTCCCAGTTATGTACCTGACTTGACGTGTAATTAAATTAAAGCCCAAGGTGGTATGGCACACGTCATGCTACTTATTCTCCTTAATTAAAAGCATTACTCTAGTTTTACAGCTTGAGAGGCACACTGATAGATGCTGAAAACAAAAAGCTACTAAGTCTTACTTACTCCTCTCGTTTGCTTTCATTTCCAGGTAAGAGCTTGACATAGGATTTAGGAAACCAGCCCCTTCCTCCATGTACCTCTCCAAACCACCAGTTTTCTTGCTGTTCCAACACAGTGATGATATCATTTTTGGAAAAGTTCAAGTGGTTTTCTTTTTTTGCAGTCCAAGAGCAAAGTGCCTGTGCTTTTAAGTTCTCTACAGCTTGTCCCTGTTAAAGTAAATATATGGATGTTACTCACTTCTAGGACTCAATTTAGGTATATTTCAAAACCACACTTCATCATCTAGGTGTGCTTTTTCTAAAGGACAGCTGAATGACTTCCTGCCATGACAGCAGCATTATGCACTGCCACATGCAAGCGATGTACTCAGAAGTTATCTTTGGACTCTGTCCCTAATGGCTAACAAAGCTGGAAATGTTTTAGTTATTTCTGATTCTAGGAAACGATGCTAGCAGCAGATTCAGTAAAGATATATAATGCCTCAGAGTGCATCTCTGGAATAAGCCCACATAAAGGCCGTCTTCTGCATGGAGGTAAAACATATATATTTGAAGGAAAAGGTGGCAAAAGTACATATAAACAGTTATCCCCAAATGGGGAAACTTGAAAGGTCATTCTGAGGCCCAACATGACAACAAAGTTCACATTTCTACATACTCCATATCTTCACTCTTTCCGAATACCACACTGATCCAATATAGTGTAAAGAAGAGAGAAAGAAAATAGTTTAAGGACCAAATTCCTGTGTGACAAATTAATATAGCTTCCCAGATTATAGTGGAGTTATGTACATTCCTACCACCTGAGGATTTGCCCTAGTGTCTTTTCTAGATTTTTTAAATAAGACACTAGAAAAGGCATAAATCCTTTAAACAACGGTATATTATCTTTATTCACACCAAATTAAATGACATCAAATTCTCCAACTCTACTCTCATACAACGTACCTGTCCATGAATGGGCGAAACAGATCCTGGGGATACAGTACGAGTAAAAGCGGATTTCTTCTGCCAGGTTGTGTTAACATTTAGGCTTGAAAAAGATACGTTTTGGTAATCAGATTCTTCTCCTGATTTATTGGGTGAAAGTGGTCTGAAATTTTAGCACAGGCTTGTTTAGCAACAGATAATCCTTCTTAAAAAGTATATCAACTATAACTACTATTTCTTACATATACAAAATGGATATGGCATACAATGCAAATCAGAATATCAAAAGGTGAACCTGTATCTTTTAAGACCCTCCCCATACAGTTTCCGTATTAGTTTTCTGCATTTAATTTATGCAATGCTTTAATACAGCATAATATATGAAATCCAAAATCTGAGATGACAATTTAACACACAGCCCAAACTTACTCTGCAGGAGCTGAGGTAGTAGATAAAGATACTGTAGGAGGAAGTAAGGCCTTCTTAGGAGATAAAGCTTTTTCCCCTTCTAGTATTTTTTCTACATAGTTGCAAGGAAACCAGCCAAAACGTCCTTGAATGCTTCCATAAAGCCAACCAGGCTCTCCTGTGGTTTTTTCATCAACCTGGGGAGATGGGCAGAAGAGAAAAACAAATGAAAAGTATAAGAAACAAAGGATATTCAGTGTGTCGGCACACTGCAGCTCTATTGATTTCACTGAAGGAGATATGCCTGGACAAGTACCAGGCCACATCATCTTCATTTTATTCAGAATTCAGCCTGCCTTTCCAATAACTAAGAAGCAACACTGCCTAGTAAGAATGCCATCCCAAGCTGTGTAACAAGGCGATTGTTCTTATCAACTGCTTGTTTCCTCTTACAATGCAACCGTAGGGACATAATTTATACTAGTTCTAGTTAAAAGACTGAAGAGAGGATGTGACATGCAGTTACAGTTAACTGAGTCCATTGGAAAATTACTGTGATAATACGTATTACTTCATCACCTAGAAACTCCAACTCCCTCATCTTATGCACCATATAAATGCAGAAATTATGAACAAAGGAACAAGATACAATGAATTGAAAGTGAGTGGGGAACTTACTTCACATCAGCTGCTCCAAAGTAACTGTTCATATACTCATTCTTACCTCAAGGTACATGAAAATTAAACCAGGGCATCAGCCATCAATGACACGGGACTAAACAACCACAGTTGAGTTTCAGTTAACACCGAACAGCTGACATGTTAGGTCCCTGGCCATTTTTAACACACTGAAGTTGGTTTTTCCATACCCGTAAGCAAGAGAAAGGGAATGCAAGTCTCTTCTGTCTAAGCTATCTAAGCAAGTATGCCTATTTACCAATCATTATTAGATAGCAGTAGCTGGGAAATTCTTTACAGTAAATACAGAATTTGTTTACAGGAAACAAAAGTATCAGAAATGGTTCAATAAATACGAGTACCGTATTTCTAAAGGGTGGTGTCTGCAGTAAAAGTACATTCAAGTAATTGTATCTTGAGAGGAAGCTGGAGATAACAACTTGCACTATTCTTTCTGTTTCCTTTCATGCTCCACTAACATGAAAATGCAAATAGATAATTAACACTATAAAATGAAAGACAAATATTAAGAGGTCTTAAGATTACTGCCTTCATCATTATCTGATATTTGCAGCACCTCCAGTCTAGTTAATGAATGAGTTTTAAAGGGAAAGTAAAGCATCTGATTATTTTTAAAAATATACCACAATATCAATATCTTCCCATATACTATACTAACATAAGTCACCTAAATATACAGTTTCTCAACATTTTTATCTACACCATGAATATAGGTTTGTGAAAGGGATTATACAACATAATTGCTTACAGTAGCAAGGGACTGGACTTAGTGATCCAGGAAGTCCCTTTGAGTCCTATGTTTCTATCCATCACGTGCTGTTGGGAGGGTTAGGGGAGGGGATTCAGGACACCAATATAGTTTATACAGCTGTATACACAAAGATGATCTTCACAGAAGAGACTCAAGCTAAACTGCCCTGGAAGACTGCCTAGAGACGAGTTTACACAGACCAGCCAATTAGGAAAAATTAAACCTTCTTCAGGTATATAGGGAGCAAAAAGAAGGTGCAGGGTAACATAAGACCCCTACAGGACAGGCTACGGCAATTGGTGATCGATAAAAGAGACAAGGCTGAACTCTTCAATGAGTTTTTTGCCTCTGCATTCCTGAACACGGATCAAGACAAACCTCCCTGTTGCATTATAGACAGACACAGGAGGGATGCCAGCCCACCAATGGTCAGCATCGACCTAGTAAAGGGACACTTGGAGGGGCTGGATGTGTTTAAGTCAGGACGCCTGGATGATTTTCATCCAAGGGTGCTGAAGGAATTGTCCAGTGTCATAGCAAAGCCACTGGCACAGCTGTTTGAGCACACATGGTGCTCAGGTCAGGTCACAGAAGACTGGAAAAGGGCCAATGTGGTCCTTATTTTCAAGAAGGGGAGGAAGGAGGATCTAGGTAATTATAGGCCAGTTAGTCTCACCTCTATCCTTGGGAAAACCTTTGAAAAAATTATCAAGGATCACATTTGTGGGAGCCCAGCAGGAAAGTAATGCTGAAGGGCAACCAGCACGGGTTCATAGTAGGTAGATCCTACCCAACTAACCTTGTCTCTTTTTATGACCAGGTCACAAAATCCTTAGATGCAGGAGTTAAGGTAGATGTTATTTACTTAGATTTTAAGAAGGCCTTTGAGACAGTATCTCATCCTATTCTTACAGAGAAACTGAGCAGCTGTGACATAGATGATTACATGGTCAGGTGGGTGGCAAATTGGCTTAAGGGTCACACCCGGAGAATGGTGGTGGATGGGTTGTACTGACCTAGAGAGATGTGGACAGTGGGGTCCCCCAAAGCTTGGTCCTTGGACCTGTGCTATTCAATATCTTTATCAGGGACTTGGATGAGGGTGTGGAGAGCACTCTGTCCAAATTTGCAGATGACACAAAATTACGCGGTGAAGTAAACTCACTAGTGGGAAGGGATCGAATCCAGGCAGACCTGGATAGGTTGGAAAAGTGGGCAGAAAAGACTAGGATGCAGTTCAACAAAGACAAGTACAAAGTGCTGCATCTAGGGGGAAGGAATCACCAACACATGTGTACGCTAGGAGACGACCTTCTCAGTAGCACAGCAGCAGAAAGGGATCATGAGCCATCAATGTGACAAAGTAATCAGTAAAGCTAACCGCACTCTATCATGCATTAGCAGGTGCATCACGAACAGGTCCAGGGAGGTGATACTTCTCCTCTAGGCGGTATGCCGCAGCTGGAGTACTGTGTCCAGTTTTGGGCACCACACTTCAAGAGGGATGTGGATAACGTTGAGAGGGTTCAGAAGAGGGCTACTTGTATGGTTAGGGGCCTGCAGGTAAGGCCCTACAAAGAGAGACTGAGGGCGCTGGATCTGTTTAGCCTCCACAAGGGAAGGCTGAGAGGGGATGTTGTGGCTGTTTACAAATTCATCAGGAGCTGGGGGTCAGCAAGGAACAGGAGATGCTCTGTTTACCAGGGCACCCCTTGGAATAATCAGGAACAACAACCACAAACTGACAGACAGCAGATTTAGGTTGGATGTCAACAACAACTTCTTTACGGTAAGGACTGCCAGGGCCTGGAACGGGCTTCCAAGGGAGGTGGTGCTCTCCCCTACCCTGGGGGTCTTTAAGAGGAGACTAGACAAGCACCTGGCTGGGGTCATATGACCCCAGCACTCTTTCCTGCCCAAGGCAGGGGGTTGGACTTGATGATCTACTGAGGTCCCTTCTGACCCTAACAACTACAAAAGCAAAACATGAAACCAAGGATATGATAGAGAACATCACTGAGATATAAAATGATATTGTCCACATTAAACAGGTCAGTTGGAGCCCAGCAGGAAAAATAATGCTGACGGGCATTATGCTAAATGCTGAAGGGCAAACTGAAGCACAAAGAGTAAATTTGTTTTTATTTATAACACCATTAGCTAAATCTGGATTTCTAGCAAGCAGTTCCTTGCACAATTACATGCACATCTGCAAAAATTTGCAACAGAGAAGATGAGAAAACAGAAATTGTATTGTTCTTGATCTATCCATTTTGTTGTTTAAAATAGCAATACTGATCCCCAACTCTACCTCTACCCCGAAGTAGACATGTATTAATCCTGCTTTCCCCTTCTCCAGACAGCAATCAATGTAAACTTGAACGGGTCTAAAATAGGGCAGGAACATTTATTTTGATTAAGATGTAATATATCCTAATTTTTAAGTCTTGTATGCACTGCAAGTCTTACCTGAATTACATCTCCTGAATTAAAGCTCATCTCATCGTGATTCCTTGCTTCAAATGGGTATAAAGCTCTGTAATTTACCAAGGCAACTGAATTCCTAGATTCTGAGGTACTAACAGCATTGCCTGAAAGGAGAAAAAAACCCCAAACTATTACTGTCTTGGTACTGCAGTAATGCTTAGAAGCCTTTAACTTGGTCAGGTCCAGTTGTGTTAGATGATGTATACTGATATAAACAAGGGGACAGTCCTTGCCTCTGTAATGTTACAGACTAAATGTATGGTGAGAGATAAATGGATACAACAAAACAGATGGAGGGAAGCACAGTGCTGCACAGACTATTATTATTAGCATGACAGACAGAGGTAACAGTGGGCAGAGTGCACCAGCTGCTGAGTCAAAGTGTGAAATCTGTTTGCCTTCCCACCTGTTCCTGTCATATCATTTCTGCAAGGCCAATTGTTTTAAAATGGTTTTATTTATTTATAACATTTTTAAATTTTCTGAAAAGAAAAAAGTTGTCCCAACACAGCACAGGCTGAGGATCTTGCCAAGGAGATACAAACATTTGGAACAGAAATATACTGTATATTCTTATTTGTAATTCTAACTCTACTCGTGCTACTGCTAACCCAACCGCACTAATGTCCTTCAGCTCTTGACTGTCAAAAATTGTGAGTGGGGTTTGCACAAGCTTTCAGCACTGCCCTAATTCTGCTCCTGTGAAATCAATAATAAAAGCCACTCCCACTAGCTGTAATGGGGATAACATTAAACCAACATAAAGCATTTTTCAAATCCCTGTATGACAAGTGGATTTCTATCTTGATTTCTATATAACTGACATTGTTTCTGATGCTTGTGTTTTCTCTATTAGTATTAAAAGAGTCACTATGGCTGCAGGCTGGGCCTGTTCTCTTTACTTGGAGCTTATCTGTTCATTTTCTACTAAAAATTATTTTAAAATAAGTTCTGAATCTCTACACAAATATCCTCCTTTCAAGGTTGGAGTGCAGGTCTCTCTCTCAGAAAAGCTGAAGTGTTACTGTTGTGAGAGGGCAGGATTTGTTGGCTGCAATTCCTGAAAGATTTGTAAATTGGGGGAGCCTCCTTGAAGTTAACAGAACTCTGCTGATTTACAGCAACTGAAGACAGGGACCAGGTTTTCTAACATTAATTTTTAAATGCTAAGTTTCCAATATTGTCATTCTGACACAAAGTGCCTAAAATACAAAGTACAAATATCTATTAAAGCCCCCCGGGACATTTTAACCAAAGCCAAGAGGTGAAGCTTACCTTCATTTTTCCCTGGTGGCTTAAGATTCCGACCATCTGTTTGTTTCAATAAACCTGCCAATTTCTCATTTAAGTTTAATTTAGAAGCTTGTTTCTCTGACTCTTGCATATTGGTCGTGTCTTTTCTTTTCTTTACTTCTTCATGCTGTTTACGCCGCTCCTCAGCTTGTCTTGCAATCTGTTCTTGCTTTTTTCGGTCGTCTTCTAGTTGTCTCTGCCTTTGTTGCTCTGTTTCTCTCAGAGTTTCAGCTTGCTTTTTCCTCTCTTCCTCCTTGTGCTTTTGCTGTTGGGACTCTCTCTCTCTCATCTGAGCAGCTACCTCTTCTGCTTTTAGCCTTTCTTCTTGAATTTTTTCCTGTATTCGCTCTTCATGTAGTCGCTTTTTTTTCTCTTCTTCTTCCTTTCGGATATTTTCCTGCCATTGGTTCTCCTTCTCCCGTTTTGCTTTCCTTAAAGAAAAAAAGGGAAAATAAATCTGAAAGTAAGCAATACATTCTTCCTGAACAAGCTTGGTGACAACCATGGCTTGAATTTAGACAAGACTGGCCCTACATCTATAGTATCCTCCTTCCTCTGGGAGTACAGTGAAGTAGTGCTGGTTCACTAGCTACAAAAAAAAGAACCAATGGCTCCAGGTCTTCAACCAAGCAGGGAAGCTGGTCCATGTTCAGTCTCTACCCTAAGAACTAGGGCTGTGCGAAATTTTGGCAGCTATTTAATTTTGGAGGTGTTTCAGCCCATTTTGGCACCTGAAACAGCGAATCTGAAAAGACACAGGCGGCTTCGAAACACTTCCAAAATGAAACAAAAGCATCCAAAACATTTTAGAAATGTGTTGGATGTTTTGGAGGTGCCCTCCGGGAGCAGTCTGGCACAGCCCTGCAGCTCTCCGCTTAAAGTGCCTGGAGGCTCGGGCCAGGCGGGGGATGGGAGCAGGCAGGGCAGCCATGGGGGCTTCTCCCACGGCTCTCCCTGCCAAGGCAGAGGCAGGCACAGCCGGAGGAGCCGCAGGAGAACCTGCAGCCGCCCAGCTGTGCCTGCCTCTCCCTGACCGATCTGAATCTCCAAAACAGGGTTGAAACTCCAAAATAGAGTCGGCTGAATTAAAACAGAACAGTGATCTGAAACATCAAAATGAATCACTCTTCGCCAAAACGTCTGAATCCAAAACCGAAATGAAACATAGCCGTTTCGCATAGCCCTACTAAGAACACAGAGAAAAGATCATTGACAGATATCACCTTTATTTCAACAACAAGGTTATCACTTGTGTCTAAAATCCAACTCTAGAAGACAATCTCCCTGCACCTTCAGCACTTTGGAGGCAATGATTTGAGATAGTGCTGAAATATCTGGTCTCTGTTATTCGCGTGTTATAAAAAAAAGTCATTGGAGAAGATCTCTATACTATATCAAAGTGGCAAACGCATTACTCTGATTGATACTTTGTGGTGTCTTCAGCCAAGGGAGGAGCTTCAGAGGGGTCTTGTGGTAGAAAAACTGCTCACACTATTGGTTCTTGGATAATAACATATTGTGGAAGTTATATGAAAGACAATCAATATCACTTGCATGCATCTTACTGACCTCTTGGACAGGACCGGTAAAAGGTCATACAACAAAGCTGTTACCACATGCTTGATGATTATTTGTGACAGAACTCGGGAATCTAAATCTCAGCAGTTAAAATAATAATAATAGATAAAACTGCACTTGCTATAACCAGGTCATCACCAGGTTACTGATAACAAGTGACCAAAAAGAAAAAAAAAAAAATCTAACCTCATCAAAGCAATACTTCATTTTAAAAACCATATGGCTGTCCTATATTTTCTGAGCCAAATTACCTTGCAGCCTCATCCTCCAGTCGCTTTTTCTGTGCCAGCTCAGCTCTTTTTTTTTCTACCTCTCTTATTTTATCTTGTTTTATTTTGTGGAGCTGCTCAAGAGCTAACTGCTGTGTGCTGTAGCTTTCTCTTAGTTCCTACAGAGGAAACACAATGAAGTGCATTAAAAGACTGAAGTCAACTCATTTTTTTAAGTGACCAACCAGGCATTTAACATGCTTTTTGATTCAAGTTTTAATACAAATGGACAGGGCATTCTAAAATAAATTATGGATGTTAGAACTCAGTGGAAATGGAGAGACAAACAGAGGAGAATATAAAAATAGCAAGCAGATCTGCAAACCCTCTTACTCAGTTTGTGTTGCTCTGGGTAGGTTGCCTCTTAGGGGAAAAGCAGTATAGCTGCATCTACACAGAACTACAGGATGGCCAATTAGCACTGCTGACTAACAGGGCCAAATAAACCAAACCCATTCTAATTAGCCCACCTGGAGTGCAGTCATGTTCTCTAGACTGGAACTGGAGTCATAGAAAAGTAGGGCAGGAAAGGACCTCCAGAGGTAATCTAGTCTGACCCCTGGCTAAGGCAGAAGCATCCCTATCTCACCATCCCATATAAATCTACCCTGACACAACACAGACCTAACACCGTAACCTGCGACAGGTAAAAGCAAGAGGACCAGGGCAGCCAATGTTTTGCTTCTATAAAATTTTGTCAATATACACTCAAGAAGTCCTGGGAAGAGGGCCATGCCCCCCTCTATAAAGGAAGGCAACCTGCCCTGCCCCATCCACATCCATACCGATCTGACCATGGTGCAAAATTCCTTCCTGTCCCAAATATGACTTAGCATTGAGGGCAGCACACGTGAAGCTGCACAGTATGTTTGAGAATACCACTGCCTGACACAGTAAGTTTACTGTGTAGACACAGTCTAAATTTCCTAAAGAAACATATCAGCAATAATATACCAGAATGTACTTCAAAAGATTAATAATATATTTATAGATTACTACAATTATTTTTTCTTAACAGTCACAGTGAATCAAATACACATACCGACAAGAAGGTAAAAGGTAGCATCTCATATAAGATTACATATATACTGTATAGAAAATATTCAGGAATAGTCTATTCCCACTGCAATACTGATACACTTTTCCTAGAAAGCCTGAGTATTCGTATAATAGACTTAATAAGAAAAAAAGGCAAGGTAACAAAACCTCCATTGCTCCAGGACCTCTCTCTGCAATAAATTAGAATAGGCAAATTATGTTCCATATATTATTTGAAGTCCTAGCATTGATGGGGGAACACTTTCTCCACTCATTTTAAACAGTTTAAAACTCATGTATAACAAGTATAATACAAGTATAATAATACATTTTTGGGGATTGTTGGCAAAAAACAAACAAACTAGTAAAAATCTATTTCAACATTACAGAATATTACTGTTTCAAAAGTAGACTTGTCCATTAAATAATTCAGAAGATAATTTACAAGAAAAAAGAGGGTATGAATTTTACAGTAAGCACTGGTGAAACACCATTAGCACAATCAGTAATTTGACCACAACACAGAAAAGCCAACTGTGTTAGGAGAAAGCAGTAAGAAAGCTTTTATATTGGGTTAACCTGGTGGCTTGGCAGCATTACATTAAGATGCTACATGTACTATCCTGGGCATTGATGCAATTGCAGGATTCTTCTGAAACCACTGGCTGTATCCAGACACACGCAGACATTTGTTTTCCTTGGGACAACTAACAGCCAGACAACTTGTGCCACTGCTACTTGTTCCTGGGGAACACCCATGCCACATGCATTCTGGCACACGGCACGTTACCTTGGGTGGGTTAGGGATGGCTGGGGCCTGCACCTGGCTGCCTCAGCAGCCTTACCTTGGGTTCTGGGGGCCTCCCAGGGCTGCAGCAGAGGTGATCCTGCCGCTTAGAGCCTGGCTGGCAGCTGGAGCGTGGCTATGGTCAGCCAGGCTCTGGTTTTGAGCAGTACGCATTGCCCCCATGTGCACCGCTCCACTTTTTTTTGTGCAGGTGTTTTTGACCTCTAGATATCCCCCTGCACTGCTCCCTTGCAGCACAGAGAACGGCTGTGTGATATGTGGCATGTCTGCGGTGCCACATACTGCACGGTGACACTCATCTGGATGTGGCCACTGAGTTGAGTCTCATTTAGGGCATGTGAGAAATGTGGGTTGGAGACAGAAAAGGGAGAAAGCAAGGGGAGAGATTTGTTTATATCAAAGGATAAAATGTTACTTCGATGACACTAACTGAAAAGGAAAAAAATACCTGGGTTAGCTGATGGATACTTTAGTCCACTTACAAACATGCTGTTATTACTATTTTTGGGTTTTGTTTTCCAAGCTTTTAATTTGAAGCCGTTAGATAGCAGACAGATTTAAAAGCAAGCAGAAAGAAAACAAGACTGTTCATTCCATTTCTGTCAGTTTATTTTCAGAATGAGATTTTCAGGAAAGAGCAAAAGAGGTATCACATGCACAAAAGAAAAATATAAACAGAGAAAAACTGTGAAATAATTAAAAGCGAAAGAGGCAAAGATTAGAAAATAACCTTAAGTAAGAGGAAGAGGTTGTTGAGACAGCTTAGCAGAGACAAAAGGCACTGAAGAACAGAATCATCCATATTCTCACACTGTAAGATAAGGCAGATAAAAAGCCAATTACATTTTTTTTAAATATACTGAAGGGAAGACTATGTTGTTGACACAGCCATTGAATGCAGCTGGATTGCTCTCAATAATCAACAAGCCATGCAGTAATGTGATTCCAAATGCAAGTAACTGATGTTGGGTGGAGAAGAATAAGGCTTTTTTTTTTTTAAAGAAGAAAATCTCAAATGTTATTGAGTTTCCTCTTCAGCTCTTTTCAATGGATGTAATGTTGTCCTTCCTCTGAAGAGAAATCATTCAGTTTATTCTAAAATTTGCATCAATGCCACTAGGAATACACTAGCAAATAAAGCAGAGTAATGCTACCTATATATGAAACTTGCATGCATTTTCTTAGATAGGTTAATATCCATATAAAGCAAATGAGCTCCTGTTATACCAGCACGTTACTTTTATTGCCCTCTGCACATATCTTGTACTTGTTACGGGAACAAGAACATTATCACCAAATCAGAATATCTTATGGGCTGTTCTGGCCTTATTTTTTAGCATCTTGTTCCAGTAAAAGGTAAACAATGAGAACATTCAGTTTACACCAGGAAAATGGTAGTACCACAACCTTATAGTCATGGAACCAGAACTTGTAAGGTGCTGAACACCCCCAACTCTGTCTCTTTGAGGAGAAAAAAAATCAGAACGAGCAATGAATACATCTGGAAAGGCATGGTAGCATGACACATGCAGAGAAGTAAAAAAGATCAATTTACAACTATGAGGTGTGTAATGTTTATTTTCACATTGTGCCTTTTGCTGGAAGACATTTGGTAAACATTTGGATAGCTTTAAGATGGGACAGACTTTCAAAAATGGAGCTGCATCATGAGATAGCAAATGCAAGTTTGATAGGGTCACCAAACTTTTATGACTGGACAGAGAAGAAAACACAGTTTACAATAATAGGGCAGTATGTTCACAGAATGACTGTACTGTACCTTAAGGTGACTATTAAATGTATCCATTTCAGAGAGTTTGGAAGCAGTTTCTTTTTCTAGGGCATCTAGTTGTTCCCGAAGTCTTTGGCACAATTCTTCCTTTTCTAAGGATTTCTTGTATACAGAATTGATTCCTGGACCTGAAAATAAAAGAACATGTAGTTTTACATTGACTTGTATTTTTAATTACCATTTCTATTTCTTTTTAGTGCATGTGAACTCCCGGTTCAGAATCTGTTTGTTTATACTGTCTTTTTTTTCCCCCCAAATACAGCTCACTGTACAACAGGACCCTGGTCTCCATTTACAGGTGTTAGGCACTCATAAGATTCACATAACATGGCTGACATTAGTTCTTTATATCAAATTAGTCTGACTTAGATGCAAACGCCTGAAGGCAGACTGTAACATGGTTTGCAACTCATTTTCCAGTATAAAACTGGTGTAACTCCTGTCATTTAAATGATGTTACTCAAAAGTTTACACTACTGTGAGCAAAAGGAAAATTTGGGTAGCAAGACTGCCTATACTGTAGCTCGTATCTGTTATGTTTCAAGTATAGAAAACTGGCATATAGATCAAAGAAAGAATTTATTTGAACATGCTTACTATTAGAGTTGTCCAGCTGCACATTTTTAATTCTCTCATTTAACAACTGTTTTTCAGGAACTAAATGGATTAGCTTATTCTGATATTCCTGCAAATATAAGAAAAGGTACAATAGATTTTTAAGACTGGTTAATATTTGTTTACATACTAACAAGCACTAAGGAGAGAGTTTTCAACATTTTAACTTGGGTGTGTCACAGAACATTGGTACAATTTTTTTCCTGTAATGGATCATATTTTATGATCCCCAAGTACACACTATGAAAGAGACGCACAAATATTAAGCACAGAGGGAATGAACAAGAGTAGAGCACACCAGCATAACATTTGTACATATGGCAGAATACAAATTTCAAAGAAAAATCCAAATGCTTTTTTGAAACAAGCCATCAAGTAATAGTTTTCAGTCTCTGATAAATAAGACAGAAGTAAAACACTATTCACACAATTCACAAACCTAGTGACATGTTATTCATTGGTTTAACACATGACATTTTTAATTCTTGAAATCACAAATCAATTGTGACATCTTACACACATTAGAAATTTGCATGGTGATAAATGACCAGTCACTTGTTTAGCTCACCAACGTCTAGTCCAAATATAGAGTAAGAAATCTGCAAGTCACAGCAAGGCATCTTTGCCTGGAACAAGACTCCTAAATCACAAAGATACTTTTGAAAATTTTGCCCAGACAGAAGTGTGAGTCCTGACATAAAAGCCTACGTTCCTTTTAAAACACACAAACCCAATTTTATTTTTCAGGAAGTGTTATGAAATTAGGCAAAAACCATTTGAAACTTTTTTCAGGTGAAAAGTCAAGTCCCTATATTTTCAAAAGTAAACAGCCACTAAACTTCCATAAATTATATTAATTCAATAACATTTGTTAAACTACATAGACTAATTGTTGTAATAAATGAAAAACCATCAGTTGATGCATCATCTATATAAGCTCCATCACCCTGCTTCATTCAAAGTTCCAGAAAGAACCGAGATACTGTAGAAAAAACACTGCACAACTCACGTGTCTTCACTGGAATGGCATCAGTAAGGATAACCCCTTTAAGCATTTTACTTGGTTTTGGAAGGATGTAGAAAACAGGCAGACATTTTGTAGGATCCCCCCAAATAACTTCCTACCTGGGCTCTGTAAAACTAATACATATTACTGGAACTATGGTCAAAACTTCACCTCTAACCTGGAAAAGTTATTGCCAATTGATCAGGACTACAAAGTTCTTTTCCCAACTTCTTAAAAAATGAAATCAGCACTGTCCAAACTCATTCTACGGGCCATTTCTGCTTTCTGTCTTCTCTGCACCTGATCTATTAAATTAATTGACATTAACATACTAGTCTCTCTTATACTGCCTTTCTTTATCACTGCTGAAGAGGTGTGAAAGGAGAAGTAGAGAACACTAGGGTTAGCCTGACGTTACATACCTGAAGCTGTTGTTGCAGCTGTTTGATTTCCATAATTCCCAAGTCATATTTCTTATCTAGAGCTTCCAGCTCACTTTTCCGGATTTGTTTTCTGCTTCGCACATCCTGCAGTCTGCCTGAGATCTGCTGATGCTTGTCAGTCTGTAGATAAACAGAAGATTACACCATGTGTAGTAAACAATTTAGCAAGTGCATCACTAAAACTTCTGTGAAAAAAATCAGTTCAGCCAAAATGTAATTACAAATAATTCTCAAATAACCCCCAAAAATCAAACAATAAACCAACCCCATGAAAATCAAGTTTCCATAGCTCATTCAAACAAATGAGCATGTTATTAATATGTATTTGCATAATACATAATTTCCTCTTTCATATAAACATAATGAGCATGACAAATGCCTCACCAGGGCTTCTAATTCAAGATTAAGGCTCTTCTTCCTAGCAGTTAACTTGACAATTTCTTCTTGTTCCCGATTTCGTTGATTAAGAAGATCTTGGCGCCGAATTCTCTCCCATTCTAGTCGCCGCTGGCGCTCAAGTTCCTGTTTTGCTGCCTAAGATAAATTATATCATCATAAACCTACAATATTCTTTAGAAACTCTAAAGCCAACTAGAAGTGTGATAGTACTGATTATAAATATTTACATTACACACATTACATACCTGTTCTTAGCCACATAAAGAGTTGGCAACATTATTTCCAGTATAACCATGAAAAATAATAGGAAATCTGTAGCTTTTTGAAAAACCAGAGTAGCGAAGCTTTACCAAATGTCAACCAGCCCTAGATCCCAGATTCGGCCTGAAGGGCACTATTCAGAAGGAACCTGACCGGACTGGCCACAGACTGCTTGCACATTAAAAAAAAAATCCCCTACACGCTTCACCAGAAGCAGCAGTACGTTACTTTGACTTGGCTCCACAGCATCTCTACAGATCAGGCACTTCAGAAGGGCTTTTTGGCACTTCTATCTAATAGATGATTCAATCAGCTATTAGATAAAAATCGCCAGAAAAGCCCCACTAAAGCACTTGATCTATACAGACACTGCAGAGCTGGGTCAAACTAATGCACGCTGCCTCTTCTGTGCATGTGCTGGACTTGGTGCGGGAGCACGTGGAGTTTAAAGTAAAGCACTGGGTTTTTGTCTTTAATGTCTGCAAGTAGTCAGAATGAATCAATTTTAACTGAAACTATGGAGAAACTTACTTAAACCACATTTGTCCTAGGATCAACAGGCAAAATAATACCAATTTCACGCTTCAGTACAGAGTAGTTTTGGGGTTTCTAACTACTTAGACCAACATGCTACACTTAGAAGTAATGAAAGTTCAAACACACCCAAAATTACACCTCCCCAAATGCACAAGGAATAGCTTAACCAGTTGGGTTCACTGAATGGATGTACAGACTTCTTAAAAGGACCGTTAAAAATAAATGTAATTAAGCAGACAACCTCCCGTCTTTCTATTTCTTTCCTCCTCTCTTCCTCCCTCTGTCTTTCCAGCTCTCGTTGTTTCTCCAACTGCCTTTCCAGTTCAAGCTGCTTTTTTCGCTCCTGTTCCTGCCGTTCCCTCTCTCTTCGTTCCTGCTCTTCTCTTTCTTTCTGGGCCTTACGCTCTGCCTCTCTCTGCTGCTGTTCCAGCAGGATCTGACGGCGTTTTTCCAGTTCCATGTTTCCTCTCTCATAGTTTGCTTTCCTCTTGTCCTCAAATGTAACTAAAACACAGAAAGGCAGTTAGCATTGTTTCACACAAAATGTCATCTTCAAGCAGGCTCCTCTGCTACATTACTAATGCCTAGAAAATTATCTTGCTAGTGATCTCAGGTCACCGTCTCACAGACATTTTAAACACCTTGAATGGTATATAGAGCTAAAATATTGTTTTCTTTTCTTTTTGAGCACTGATATTCACTTAAGTTTTCAGAATCTTGTCAGAGGCAAAATTTCATTTTTATGGTCAGCCCAAAGTAATTTTTTTCCTCTGGTATTTTACCTTTTCACAAAAAAACCAAAAAAAAGAGACAAAAACAAAAAAACCCATCACTGGCTGAACAAGGTCTGTTTGATTTTTTTTTTTTTTTACCAGATCACAATATAACACTGACAGATAAAATAACTTTATTTGTGCAGAATAATATAAAGGTAACATTCAGAAGCTGAGGAATAGCTGAGTTCTTGGTTTATAACATATGAAAGGAAAGTACATAAATTACAAAGCTCATCATTTTTTAAATTTATTTTTAAGATTTTCACTACAAGATGCAGGCAAAGGCCAGCAAGAACCAGATAGTAGTAAAGTCTAATATTGTGGGACCAGGCAAGCTATATTCAAGTGCTCGCAGGCTCAAAATCTTGTATTAGTTGAAAAAGTACTGCTTTACCCTACATTCATAATGTTTTCTTAATTGTACATAACTGACAGCATCATCTACACAATCTTTCCTCTATCTATGGTGAAATGTACATTACCCCAGAAACACAGATGTTCGAAAGTCCCGGGTTCCCTCATCCCATTGTAGTTTCTAAAAGTTTTAGCAGAGTTCAAAGTACAGTTTTGTAGGCTAACACACAGCTCAAAACCTTGTTTTTACCTGGCTGTTTTTTCTGGGGCTCTTCTTCTTGTGTTTGCTGGTAAGATTGCAGTACTCCATTAATATTTTCAGCATACTTTCCACCTCTATAAAGATACATTTTTGTTGGGAGGTTAAAAGTGCATCAATATTTGTAGTCTTTGCATCAGATTTGTCATGTGTCACTGCCTTCGGCAATTTACCTGAAAGAAGGAGGTACCAATTCCGGGGGAAGTGTCAGTGGCAGAGGTTTTCCAGCTTTGGCCATATCAGTAAGATGCATGGCTAACACAAACTCATCAGCCCTCAGCTGTCCATCACCATCAATATCAGCAAGTGTCCTGAGTAAAGTATAAGAGCAATGACATCAGCGGAAGTGAAGCTGAATGATTACTTGGAAGGGATAGTTTAAATTATTGCAGAACAATTTCTGAAAGGATTATTTTATAGAATAAACTGGTAAAAAATCTTCCTCTTAATAAAATCAATGGCAGATGAAAGACAATTTTATTGTGCTATGTTATAGTTTTACTACAGGCCTTGCCTTTATACAGCTTGTTTCAAGAAACAGCGAAAGCAGAAGTGGGAAATGAGGATGAGAGAGGTACATGACTTTCCTCAGGGTGACATGACAAACCAACAGCAGACCCGGGAACAGAAGACAGCCCTATATACAACCCACTCTTCTGAAGTTCACAGCATCTCTTGATTTATTACCTCCCAGTTCTTTTCTCAGGATTTCAGCAACTTAAATTTAGGTTCTCAACCTCCTAAAGGAACCTAAATATAAGGCCTCTTTTTTCCATGCCAGCAGTTTGTCTGATAATGCTGTTTCAGAGCTCCTTTAAGCAGACAGGTGAAGAGGATCAAGCACTTCCTGAACTTGTTTATATGGGGAGGCAGGATAGGTACTTGTCTTACCTCCCTACCCCCACACAAAATACTTTGCAAGGGCAAAAGGTAAGGAACACATGCTTCCAGAGATGTGTGCAAAGGAACTGGAGCATCCATTAAAAGAAACATGTCTGATCTAGATACACAGATCCTGTTGCAAGACTAAGTCACGGAAGTACTTGCCACTGTAGCGCTCTTCCTCACCAATAAGTCTGACCAGAAAATAATAAGAGAAAAGATTTCTAGTCAAAACCACAGTTAATCAAAGTGTTTTTTTCTCCTGTTTATTGTCTGACACTACTTCTGAATCATGTTAAAATGACACTACATATCAAAACAAAGTATTGATAATTCCCAACTTTGGAGTAGAGAGGTGGTTAGCTGTACTAATTCGAAGTCAAGGAGAAGGTAGGGCAGGGTGCCACCTTAAAGGCTAGTTAGCTTAGAGATGCACAAACTTTTGTAGGCAATAACCTACTTTATTAGACGCTGTGCACACTTTGGTGATACCGACAGTGATATGGACGATCAGTATTGTGAAAGTACACAAACCATCTTGCATCCAACCAGGGCTATTCAAACTTTGAGCCTGGACATGCAGGAAGATGCAGTCATTGTGCATCTGCTTATTCCATCACTACCTTCAGCAGGTGCACAGAACCTCAAGTCTTGATTCTGATCCTACAATGTACCACCTAACAGCAGAGACAACAGGGTAAAATTGTAATTTGCTGCTCCTATGAGCCAACAGTAAACAACTACTCTTGGGACAAAAGGAAGAGGGAAACCTGTGACTCAGAGGGTTGTCTGCAGAGGGTTGTGGATTCCTCTGGGATGGTAAAGTTTACAGCTCACTCCGAGTCGTGTCAAAAGGCAAAACCTAGACGTTCCAAGACTCATTATCCAAGTCTTCAGAAGACTGCAATTATTTCTACCACCATAGCAAGGACAGCTGTTAATCAAAGTGAAGCGTAGAGCTATTAGCACACAGTGACAAATAAACTGAAGGACCACTGATTAAAACAAAGTCTTTCCCCTCCTACCCCCAACTGAAATCAACAGACTTTGCAATTTCGGCAGAATTTTGATCTTCTACATCTAACCCATTGTGTTAAAGAAACAAACCCTCCAGGTTTTACAACTCACTTCACTGAACCTGAAATGAATATAATTAATTTACAGTCTGATGTGAGAGAAATGCAAAATAGCAACGAAGTGAAAAATAAAGCGGACTTTTCAAACACTGTAGCTTTAATAAACAGAAAATTAGCAAAATTGTGAAACAGGTTAATTTTTCATTAATGTTTAAGTTGTACTTACCTCATTAACATTCCTTTTTGAAGAACAGATTACATTCATCACACAATATACCTCTTATGGGCCAGTGAATTAAACTTACCAAATTGTAGCCAGCTGAGTCTGGGAAAGATTAGACTGAAGAAGGGCATTTTTTGCTTGGAAACCTAAGCGAAGGTATGAAAATTCTTAATAATTATAATAAAACATTTATTTAGACAAAAAGATGGATACTAAAATTGTGTGCATTGTAACCTGGGGCAAGCACATGTTAATTCTTAAATTTTACTTGACCCATTTGTGCTGATATTAAATTAACATTAGTAGTTTCAACTTCTGTCCTCTTTTAAACCTGGAAATACCAGTGTCTCTTTACACATAAAGAAATATAATTGGAGCTCTCGGGATTACCTGTTCTCACTCAGCTAGTCCCAGGACAGGCGACCTGGGGTAAATGTAAATGTTTATAGCAACCTTCAAAGTTGTATGTTGAATATAACTGGTTGTTAGCCCACAGTCTGAGCTGTAAGCATGGGGCCACTGGCATTTCCCAGCAACCAGAAATATATGGCTTGCTGGGCAAGTTCCCAAGCCCTTCAGCCTTAGATTCTACTATTACCAGCTGGCTCCAAATCAGGAGGAAAAAAAAAAAAA